TCAGGTAGGACCTCCCACGGAAATTCTTCCAACGTGCTCTATCCTGGTGTATTCGCTTGCACCAGAGCAGAAAACGCAGGTCCGTTATGGAACCTTCGATGGTTCCAACGAGTTCCACCAAATCCTGAAACCAGATGACTAACCTGGCGACTTCGAGGACGTTTTCCACACCGCGACAATTTATCTTCAGAGCTAGGTTGACATTCTGTTCTCCAACAGCGCTCAACAGCGCCGAGAAGTGCACCACAGTGTCGATGTGCTTGTCGACTACAAGCCGTTCGATGCTGTCCTGGCTCAGTATGTCCAAATAGGAGTAGTTGGCTAAAAAGGACTAGCATAGATCTACGAATTAAAACAATGACATATAATTTTGGCCCAGAATGGGGGCCCGTCAACGGCGCATGGGATTTCGCGCGGCGAAGGAAAAGGGTCTGGCGGCGCGCGAAACCACGCCCTACTAACATGCCCCGACTGACGTAGGTAATAATGGCAGTACTAAGCGTCATTACATAGTAGGATAGCATTCATCAGAAGACCTTCTGATCGATCAGCTGAACCAAGTGAGTCTAAATAATACGAGAACTGCCATGTTATTTAGATTTTGCCCGGAATTGTTTGGCGGCTTTACAAGAATGCAAATGAACTTACATATGTCTGTTGCATTACGTGGAGCTTTAATAATGTCGGTCATCACAACGCAGCCATCTCCGTACATATATCTAAATGAATTCGGTAGTTGTGACGTCACTTTTTCACTTTCTTGGCACATTGAAAATCAAGATCTCTCTGATCTCACTTGTACACTGTGTTTAGTCCACGACCAAGCTGCCCTAGTGCTCCAGTGATTAATACCCGATGCCTTTCGTCAGTCGCATTGGCAATTGCTTTGAACCTTGCCAAAGGATCTGCCTAAACTTCTCGCTCATCAAATGAATACGGAATAACGAGTGTGGAACATTTTATTCAAGCTGTGGCGAAGGTGGCGTCGCGAATGGCGTAATGTGCGCGGCATTCGCACCAGGACTTGATTGACTCAACGAGTAATCACTGCAGTACATCCAGTCAAAAGCTAGGAAATGTCACGAGAGAGTAGATCTAAAGGTTGTTAGATTTCCTCGGCTTCCAAGTGTAACCTTTGTGCAGATTGGCGTCGGTAGAAAAACTTTTTCTTTTTGATGGGCTATGGGGGAAGGAGCTCAACTTCATAACACCTGAAGCCAATTTGAAATATCTGCTAAATGCTTTAGAACAGAGTAGTTTTTTTTTTGAACAAGCTTTATATCCTTGTGAAGGCCAGAGCTATTTTAACTTACGCAGCTCGGCTTGCATTATGTGATTGCAAAGTTAGCGGTCGCTTCAAAAAGGTCAAAATTTGCCGGAGAGGATGAACTTGTTGCTTCATGATGCTGGCATCCGTTTCACGAATACTCCACTCTACGAAATTTACACTTGTCTGAAGAAGTACCCGAAAAGTAACCCGTTCTTATGTGCATTAGTGGGCGCAAACTTCAAATTAAAGTGTGCCGAATGGGGGGTCGAACCATAAACTCGTTCAGTTTCTGAAGTGAAGGGGTCACAGAGCTTTGCTCTAATTTGAAAGAAAAAGACGCATCGATAAGGAAGCAATCATTGCAGCTCTTAGGCCTCTGCATTACTCGCAATTGAAAGTTATCGTCTCTTGAAATTTTATTGACCTAAGGAAGGCATTTCATCGCCCTTCAGTGAATGAGGAAATCTGGGTGTGGCCCGATAGATTACGACATGCTTCCATAAAAAGTGGACGCGAATTGATTCTCTTTGCCCGTATGGAAGAGGTCAACGACTCAACTTTCTCGAGAGCTATTGTTCTGCCGTTGTTGTTATTATTTTTGAAATCTTGGATATTTTAATCGCTACTCGTAGGGCAGCTTGGTAAATAAGTGGAAAAATGAGTACATGTGTTGGAGTTTGGATAACGGAATCATGAGATTGAGAGGATTCCTATAAATTTCATTTCTGTTTCTCGTTTCCGAAAATGTCCCAGCTTTGTTGAGGACTTCTTGTCCGAGATTCAAGAACCACAGTCATAGAAACCCCGAAGTACAGAATTCAATTTTGAGTTTTTTTTTCAATAGTTTACAGCTAGATGGCGCGAAATTTTGTTTGCGCTTTCAGGTCCGAATAAATTTAGTTCGCGGTGCGCTTCAGCCACACGCCGACACCACTCGCAACACTGCTTCCGGCAGGCCTTACCGCAGATCTTCTGTGTCACATCCTAAGGCCGGTTTTCATACCTTCGCGACGGGCATGAAGAAATGCAGAAGTGCGGAAAGTGGGCAGAAGTGGGATGTGCAGAAAAGCAATGGATACTTATCGACTTGAAGAAATGCAGAAATGCCGAAAGTGAAGAAGTGCCGAATCTGCAGAAATGCCGAAAGTGTGGAAAATCGATACGTATCGGTTGCTTTTCTGCACATTCCGCACTGTCGGCATTTCTGCAGATTCCGCACTTCTTCACTTTCGGCATTTCTGCAGATTCCGCACTTCTTCACTTTCGGCATTTCTGCATTTCTTCAAATCGATACGTATGTAATGCTTTTCGTCATTTCTGCACTTTCCGCACGTCTGCAGTTTCGGCATTTCTGCATTTCTTCAAGTCGATACGTATCTATTGCTTTTCTGCAGATTCCGCACTTCTGCACTTTCCGCACTTCTGCATTTTCCGCATTTCTGCATTTCTTCATGGTCGCAAGCTATGAACGCGGCCTAAAGACAGCAGAGATAATCAAATCAAGTCATTTAATCAATCATTGTTTTTCGGTCTCACCGGAAGAGCGTATGATCGCGTTACGCTGATGTTGAGAAGAGCGGCTGAACTTCTCAGCATTTTCCCCGAAATCGAAGCCATTTGACTGAAAACAAATTTTCAGCAAGGCGAGCAACGGACGAGAACAATATCGACAAAATGAGAGATTGGCAATCCTGAACCAAACTGTAGCGTTGGCCTACAGCTAATCCGTTTTCCTGTTCCATATAGAAAGTGTCCACTAACCCCTTCAGATCATTATCCTCGCTATATGTGAGGTAAACGGGTTCGCACTTTCGCTAGCGCGGTTTTTTAAAAGAGAAAAAGGCATGCTATTGCTAAGTTCGGATCCATTTGGCTCGCGCACGGCAAGGACGGTCTTCGGAGGTAAGTGTACAATTTGGCTTTGAAGGAATGGTACGCGATGGCCTAGGAAAATGCAAAAGATTGTGTGGGAGGGGAAGTGTGTTCGCAATGTAAAAATGCATTGTAACTAACCTGATTTGTTATGGAAGCTTTGTAAGGGAAAAGAGTTAAGGCCCAAAGTTACTCAGTAATACATCCCTTTTACCAGTAGCTCGACCTCCAGACTTCACCTTCAAGGCTGGCCTTTCAGCAAAACGATTACTGCAGACGTAAGCATGGGATTGGGATCTATCGTCCTTTTGTGGGGACATAGGGTGCGCAATTACAAGGGAATAAGGTATTCGCCCCAATATCGCGTCTTTTGTCCTTTAACCTGTATAGTTTGAGGCTACAGAGGTCCTATTATGGCATTTTCTTCACAGACGAGTCGCATAGCACTTTTCTTCCATTTTTCGACAACACCATCGCCTACGTTCCTTACTGTGGATCATGCCCATGGGAACCCTCGACGTAGCCAATTTCTCAATGTTAGCTGGAGAATCAACGCTCTGACATTCCCATTTGTGCGAAAACTGGTCGCAAGTTATGGAAAAGTCATGTGTGAAATGAGCGAGCTTTTTAGAAGATTCCTTAGGTAGGGCGGAGATGGTTTATTGGTAAAAGGCTCATCTACCACGCGCACGGCCTGGGAAATGAGCTTGGCCTGAGAAAAACTCAAGGAGAAGGGAAAACCTACGGTTCGGGCTGAAGCTCACATGCTTTGTCAGTACTGTACTTTTTGAGCCGAAATTTTTTTAATCGGCTTCTGATAGCTCCATTTGGTGAAAACAATCGAAAGAGAGATGCATGATGAAACATGACGATGAAACATTCAAGAGATGATAGGCTATCTATTAGCAGACGTAGTATGCAGAGCGAATCGAAACCGGCTGGGTCAAAACGAAGCACTACGATTTCGATGACAGACCCGCGCCACAGTTGTCTTGGACGACAACTTTTCGATTACAATATCAAAATGCTTCCGTGAAATGGTGTGACACACCGGTTCAACTGACAGGGCTACAGAGGGTCAAAGTGGTAAGCAGAACATAATGCCTAATGAAGCAAGGAGCCAGGTAGTAGGAAATATGTTTCGGCAGACATGGACAAAAAAAAGCGGTGCTCTAATTCTATCCTCGTTGTGAAGGAACAGTTCCTGCAGATGAAAAATTTCAAGGCTCGAAGGGTCCCTGAAGGTAGGGGGGAGTCAAAAAACGAAGATGCTCGTGGTACTTGGCTCAAAAGTGAAGAGAGTCTTGGGAGTATTCAAAGGCATATGGCACGATAATTTGGTACTTGGTCTCAAATGCTAGCTGGATGCTACATAGCGGGAAAAGAACGATAAAGCGAAGTGAAACGGTCAAAAGCCTGCAAAGAAAACCCTTCGTTCTGAACGACTCAAGAAGCAATTTCGGACGAGTTCCCCGTCGGCATTTTGCCAATAAGTAGGTACGGCTGCACGTATGCTCTCGCATCAATCCCTTCGTTTTTATATTTTACCTGGCAAATGAAGCAATGGTCAGTTACGGTCGTCCATTTGTGGGCGGGCGGGCGCGGAATGTCGCAACTTGATGAAGCTTTATGAGGGTATCTTCTTTGGGAAAAGCGCTACGCAGCGCATGTCAGAGGCGCGGAATTCCGCCCTGCCGTCGGTATTAATCCTACACGTCTTAGTAATTTATCGTGCTACCTGCCTTGAATGCGGGTGCCTGTAGAGTGTAGATATTTCAACGAAGACGCCAGGCGTTCTTAACTAAAATCTATTGTGATTAGGCAGTTTCTTGGACTTAAGTGCCCAAGAGGAAACTTCATAGGCAAATCCGGGAGTAGATTCGTAGGCGAACTGGATACCAAAACCCCAAAGGAAGGGGGAGTCAAAAGTGGATTGGTGGCAATTTTACCCTGAAAGGCTAACTAGATGTTAGCTGTATACTACCGGTTCCACGATAAACGTGATGCAATAAAGAAGAAGAGATCACCCAGCAAACTGGCTGAACATATCGCTCATGGAATGACAACGGCTGAAAAAAATTGCCCAAGAGTAAGCTAATGTACTGCTAGCTAGCGTCACCTAGTCGAGTACAGCGTGCATTTCTATGAATTCCATTCAGAGAGGAGAGCTTTAAGAATTAAAAGTTCTCAAGATACGTGTAAGTGGCTCTGAGGCTTATAGCAGAGGCCAACAACAAAAACTATGAAGACCATAGTGTAGCAAAGCAAAAGACAAAGCTGTGACTATTGTGTGTGCCAGGTTCCTGTCAGATACGGTAGACTGCGCGCACGCGCAAGACTTCACGCAATGCAAATGGGCGGAGTGACACATTAGAGACGATCGCCGAAGAAGAACCAGACCAGATTGACGTGATGTGACAACGACGACGTCGAACGATTAGACATCAGCACGTGCCACTGCCATAAGAGCCATATAGGCATGTGGTTTCTGTAGATTGGCGTTGATGGCAAGAAACAGTTCAGAAAAACTACTCCTTCCGGTAATGGGCGTTTCCTCGTTGGAAGCAGCAAGAAATTCTATTCGGAACTGATTTCTTTCAGGTAACATAAGCATCTAGTTCGAGTGCTATAGCTCAGAGGGGCAAGAGGGCAGCAAACACTTTTTGGGATGCGACATGCATTCTACTTTCAATCAGAATCACAGTGGCTTAATTAGTAAGCTCTGGCCTACATAATGAATGTGTGTGCAGCCAATGTAGTTTTCGTATCCTCTCAGACAGATCTCATACAAATTTAACCCCTCCAAGAGGGAGGAGGCTTGGTTGGCAGGCGGGAACCGATCCGTGATTTGACCTACGAACCGTTCGCGTGGTAAGTGTGCCTTTTCTCTGCACACCTTCTTTTCCTTCTCAGGGAACTGTACATATTCACAGTGGTGAAAAAGAGGGTCAGAGCAGAGCCTCATTCCATGCTGGTTGTATGAGCGGTTGCGTCCTTCAGATTGCATGTTAAATTTGTCCTCCGTAGGCGGCCCAGTCAGGAGTTTGGTTACTGTTGCCCTTCTCGTCTTGGAGCAGTGCAACGATACTAGTCACACGCGTGCGATTAGCGTGGAATGTGCCCTCCTCGAGCACAAAAAACATTCAATACCTAGTACTAAGGTAAACTTCCAAACTGAATGATTATTAGTTTATCCTTTCCACAGAAACCAGCTCATTCGGGGCATTTGCTATGTGACAGATTTTTAGCCTAATAAATGGGGTGGTGAACTGAATGCACCTCAATGGCAAATGCCACGACACTCCCCAAGATGTGTAGGACTAATACGCCTAGCAGGGCAAAATTTGGCGCTACTGAGCAGGCGCTGCGTGGCGCCGTTTCCAATGAATGCACCCTTATAGCGCCCTGTCAAGCTGCAATATACTGACCTGGACCCCAACCGCGCCCACCCCCCACAAATGAACGAGCGTACCTGGTGCTCGTATTGGTTCATTTGCGAAGTAAAATATCTAGCGAAGGGATTGTTATGAAGCGGTTGCGATGCTGCGTGATATATGAGTAACCTTATCCCTGAGCCAGAGTAGGCGTGGCATTTGAACATGGCACGGAACTGGTTACTCGTGGAATATTCCAATCTGGGACAACTGTCATCTTGTTCTGTGTTGGACAGAGACACGACAACAGTTGTGTCAAGATGGAAATATCCGCGACCAATAAAGAACAGCCTCAAGTGTTAAGTTGTAATGCAGGCCCCGCCTACGCCGATCTCATGGATCTTCGAGGTATGGCATACTTGGAGCCGGATCTTAACGCGCGTTGAAAAAATTTTTTTTTTTTTTTTTTTTCCAAAATTGTTTCTATGTCGAGTAGAACAGAGGTTTTTCGCATGTTTTTAGCCGTTTCACCTGGCTTTTTCGCCATTTTCCCGCTATACAGCACCCCTCCTACCACTGTACATAAATGCGAGAACCAAATTATCGTGCCTTATGCCTTAGGCAACCGACCCGTTCCCTCAAACTTCAGTGAACCCACAGTCTTATGGGTCAGTCTTAAAGGGAATTTTGAAGGGTTGGACTGAGACTGTCTTCTTCTTCCATCTTATTCAGACCACCTTGAGAGGTACCGAAAACTTCAATGACTGGTCTCGACAAAAGATCGCAGTTGTGTTCAAGGAGAATCAATGAACGTGGTCGCACCGTCCGCCATCAGTGCGCGACGTTGTAATGTTACAGACCGAAGGAATGATCGGTCACAGTTCACCTTTGCTATCAGATGCTGCTGCTGCTGCTAAATGCCGAGAGAATGACGATGATGCTTAAAAGCCGATCGTTCCAAAAATATTATTCATTCAAGACGAATTCAACTCGAAAGGAGGAGTTCTGTTCAGTTGCCCTTCAAGACGAAATTGGTCCTTGATGAAACGCATTACGCCATTTGGTCGACGCTGAACAATCTCATTGAGTACTTTTACGCTCCTTTCCCCACTCACATTCGCAGCGACCTCAGGGATATGATGGGGCATGTTGTCCATGACTGGAACAGAGGAAGC